TCCTTTCATTTCCTTTTCGGTTTCCTCTCCAGGTCATCATGCCAGGGTATTGTGTGCAAGGAACAGTGGGCCACAAGATTTTGGGCGGCCAGCGGAAGCTAGAAATGGAAGGCAGACAAATTGTGAGTTGAACCATCGGTGGGAGGGCGGCTCAGAATGATCGCCTGCAGTTATGTGTTGGATCTCTGCTTTTAAATCTGGGAGAATGTCGGTCGTTTTGTTTAAAATGGATATGGGCTGCATATCCTTGCTTAGCATGCTATCGAGGAAATATTCAGAGACGGTGGAGTGAAGTGATACGGTAGGGTCCAAAACTGAAAAGGCACCAATCTAAAACGGGCAGAAAAATCCCTGTTGAAGAAATCTCACTGTTTAGCAAGAGGTCTCAGCATAATCCTTTGCTCCTGACCTAGTTTGCTACACACAGGGAGAGTTTTAAAAAGCAGGGAAACCTTCCAGATTGCACCCTGTAAATAGAAGTTGCCCTGCCCAACTCGGTCACTTGGTTGGAGAGGGCTGGCACGCTGCCTCCCTGGGCCTGACTTTTTTTTCTCCCTCTGCCTTGCTCCCCATAGCTGGAAGTGAAAATGCAGGTGGAATACATGTCCTTCAGCGCACATGCCGACGCCAAGGGGATCATGCAGCTGATTCGGCAAGCAGAGCCCCGGAACGTCCTGCTGGTCCACGGCGAGGCCAAGAAGATGGAGTTCCTAAAGCAGAAAATTGAGCAGGAATTTCGTATGTAGTGCATCCAATCTGAGCGGGAACGTTGGGGGAATTTTTTGGCAGCCTTCCATTCCCTGCAGTTTCCAAGGGCTTCTCAAAACATAGAAAGCTTGAATTGCTTGATGCAGAAGACGAACTGGCTTAGAGCGAAGCGTGAACCCAGCTCAAGGAGGGAAGCTCAGTGGTTGAGTGCAGGTTTGCAAATAAGGTTAAGGGCCAGTTTTCTGGTTTAGTTCTGCATTTCCTGCAAAAAGCCATGACTTAAGTGGCCTGACGTTGGTTTTGTGGCATGCCACAGCTGCATTTTGGCAACTTGGTTTTTCTTCTTGAACAGAGCGCAGTTTCTGACAGGCAAGAGCAAAGGGGCTGGCAGGGTTAAGTTTTGTCTGCTAACTTGGAATTGGGAACGTCAGCTGCAGTGACAGGCTTTAGGATCTGCCTTCCTGCTTGTCTCCAGGGTGGGAACGAGGACCTTTTATGTGCTCTATTAACTGGACCTTTTGGGGCGTTTAAGTGGGGAACACAGAAATGCAGGAAATTGCTTGCACCAAGTCACGTCTAGCCTTATATTGTGGGCACAGGCTGGCAGCTGCTCTCCAGAGTTTTCAGACTGGAGCTTTTCTAGTCCTCCCTGACATATTGAGGTTAAACCAGAAACCCTGGTTTGGCTTCTGATTAGAGGAATGGTTCTTTTGTCCAGCGGGGCTAACCAGCACCTCGCTTTTTCTCACTTGCAGGAGTCCACTGCCATATGCCTGCAAATGGGGAAACGGTGACCGTTTTCACCAATCCTAACATCCCAGTGGATATTTCTCTTGGGCTGCTGAAGAGAGAGCTCGCCATTGGTAGGTATCACAGGACTAAACACTCAATATCATTTGGGGAGGGAAGCAGCATTCACTGCCGTCTTTAGCTGCGTTTATGCTGTTTCTATGACTCGGCTCTTCTTCCACCTTTCTATCCCCAACTTAGCACTTCCAAATAGTTTGGGCCAATGGGAGTTGCAGTCCCACTGCCTTGGAGACCGCCAGCTTGGGGGCTTCTATTCCTAGCACATTCTGGCTTTCATTTAGCCAGAAAAGCACCACCCATTTATAATGGGAGAGGATTCGGGCAAATCTGTATGGGCCTAACATCAGCACAGCAGCGTAAAATCTTTGGGAGGGAGGAAAGTGAAACTGTCCCCAAATAACCAACTGGGGACAGAGTTTTGCCAGGAGGCTGTATGTTGGGTGGGCCAGGCCAGTGGAGGGAAGATGGAACGGCCTTCCTTGGAGACCATCTCAGTTAAGCTGAATAACAAGCAGTCTAATTGAAACCTGAGAAGCATGTCAGAGGTTTAATACTGGGGTGATTGGATTAACACCCCCTCCCCAGGGTGGATGTTGAAGAAGGAGGCCTGTGGCCTTGGTGAAGTAACCCAGCACTTTGGAATAAATAGAAAAAGAGATCTTGGAGATGGTGGTGCACGGAGGGAGCACTGAAAATTAGGCTGTGGCGAAACAGCACTGCCCTGACAGCCATACCCCATTCAAGCCTCCGAGGAGGTGAGGGACATGACCTGGAGGGAAGACACTTGGGGACCAGGGGCTGGAAAGCAAGGGGGCCAGATGACTCACCTTTCCTTTTTCTGCTCTAGGCCCCTCGCCGGCGCCCAAGAAGCCAAAGCTGTTGCATGGCACCCTGATCATCAAAGATAATGTGAGTGAAGGGGAGAAGGGAACCCTCTTAGCCCAGCGTGCCTTTCCCAGCCATGACCCCCCTCAGGGAAGCTGGGCAGCTCAGCAAGGATAGAACCCCTTTGAATTTTACACTGCCTTTTCCCCAGGGAGAGATTTATGACAGCCCTGCCTCTGAGAACGTTAAGCCAGGAAAAGAAAAGCTTTAAAATGACATTGTTTTCATTTTAAAGAGTTTATTTTGGGGGCCCAAAGTCTTCCTTTTGGGTAAATCCATTATTCCCGACTGGGAGGAACCAGCAGGGTTCCTCGGGGTTCATCTTTGCTCCTTTGCTTATGGACAGAGTTTCCGTTTGGTTTCTTCTGAGCAAGCCCTTAAAGAACTGGGGCTGGGGGAGCACCAGCTGAGGTTCACCTGCCGGATCCACTTTCAAGACCCCCGCAAAGAACACGAGACCGGGCTTCGCGTTTACAACCACCTCAAAAGGTAAGCGCTCGGGGATTGGCAAGAGCCGCTGGGGATCCCAGATGATCTGCCCAACGTTGAGGAATAGAAATTTGCTTTGGTTGGAAAGAGAAAGCTTACAGTGATGGGAATCTCCACTGAAAGCTGATTGAATGTCATGTCCCCTTAAATGTATTTAAAAACACAAGACAAATGGGATTTAATAAAGCAAGTGTCTTGCGATGTTTGGGAAGAGAAGCTAATCCAGGAACTGGAAGGCCTACATGACTGCGACCGAAGTTTGTGAGAAATGAAGTACACGCTTGGGGCTCACGTGAGAAGGCTGGGAGGGATTCATCATCTGTGGTGTTTTTTCCCTAGTGCCTTGAAGGATTATTCCGTTCAGCATCTCTCCGATACCTCCATCATGGTGGAATCCATCTTGATCCAGGTTACGGTGCAGTCTGAAGATCCGGCCACCAAGCTTCTGCTGGTGTCCTGGACGTACCAGGTAAGGTTTTAAATCTGATTTTACAAGAGGAGACTGCTGCTTAGGGCAGAACTGTTGCATCTGGCTTTGCTTGCAGAGGCTTGTTGAAAGAAAACCCGTGGCTTTGGACAATCGCTGAACCCTCTTCCCATGTAAACCAGGGTAAAGAACTTCTGAGCCTCCAGCTACAGGTGAACTATATCTTGTAGCAACCTATGTTGACAGCCTGGGGATTATAGTTCACCATCAACTGGTGGGCAGAGGCTCCCCACCCGAGGGAAGAAGGCGCTCCATTACTTATCCACCGACAAATGGAAAGAGGGTCAGTGCCCACCCCTGCTGACGCACAGGCCAGGGCAGCATTCTCTCTGTGCAAAAACACCCATCTCGTGCAAGGATGTGCCCATGGAGAGAAGGAGTCGCACGCTTCAGAGTCCATCTCCCCAAAGTGCTCTGGGGTGACGGAGGCCTTGTCTGCGACATTTGAGAGCTGTGGCTGGGTCTTTTGCCAGGGTCATAGGTGGCTGCAGGCAGGGGCTAGATGGGCCCTCCTTCTCTGCTACAAAGCACTTTGGGATTGGCTCCAAAGTGCTGTGCAGCCTCAGATGTGTCCCCGTTGCTGTGCCCCCCCCCCAAATTGTCTGTCCATACAAGTCTGGAATGGCCTTCCCGCTTAGGTTCCCCCTCCAAAAGTGAGGACTTTGTTTCCCAGAATTCTCAGCGATGATCACTGGGGAATTCTGGGAGTTGAAGTCCACAAAGCAAGGGCCACCACTGAAATCTTTAATCTGGGTTCTGTGTGCAGGATGAAGAAATGGGTAGCTACGTCACCTCCCTGCTGAAAAAAGCCCTGCCTCAAATTACAGGATGAGCTTCTGGATGCCTTCACCTGCTGTTACAGACTTTTAGTTACAAAGAGGTGCAGGTTCGGACAAGAGGCCATGGTTTGGCCAAAAAAAAAAAAAAAAATTGTATTTTTGTCATCGCCCCTTCTGCTCTGTGCCACCCACCAGCCTTTCCATTCATCTTCCAGCATCGTTTGTCTCCACAGCTGTCAGTGCCCTTGATTTTCCTTTTTTTGCCCCACCTGCTTCTGCTGAAACAAAACAGCCTCGTTTTGTTCTGCACAGAAATCTACACACCAGAAGAGGCAAGTTCTGGGCGCAGGCGCTGCCCCAAATAAACACCCCTAGAACGAGCAGTGTAAATATTTACATTCTAAGTCTGTGTTTTAATAAAGATGTTTTCTTTCAGTATTACTGGTCTTCCTTGTCACAGATGGCCTGTGTCTAGGTGCCGGGCATCCTGAGTGAAAATGCCTAACCCAGGGCCTGGAAAACCCCTGGCAAAGACTCTCACGAGAGGCATCGTAATCACGGAGTAAGAATGCAGATTGTTCCCTTGCCCCAAGCCCTTCTGCTGTCTGAATAGCAGCTCTGTATTTTCAGGAATGTGTGCACGTTGGCTGTCTTCGAAACAAACTTCTGTTGCTGTTTAGCTCAGGGAAGGCTGCAAGGAAGCTGATCTGTGCCTTTGTGTCTCTAACCAGACAAAACCAGCCCCCCCAAAGCTGCATTTAAAGAGTCTCCTGGCTTTCCGAAATGTCAGTTGACAATTTTAAGCATACCTGCCCCAACCAAAAGACAAGGGAACTGCCCAAGACAACACTCTTTATTTGAAATGCTCTGGAAAGTTAGAGACACAGTAGCCCCTCTCCAAAACCTAAAATGACACATGACATTAAACGTGCGCCCACAACTGGCAAAACAAGATGAACGCCACCCCCTTAAAGATCAGCAAGCTTTCTCGGGGGGACCATCAGCGTTACCTTGTTGGCAGCACGGCTGCTCCACCTCCCGCCCCATAAGGCCGGTGTCTGGTTGAGGTGTCCCCGGTGGCCACCGCTGATGGTGCAGACCTTTGAGGTCCCTTTCTGCCAACAGAGCTGCCAGTGGCACTGCTTGCTGGCCAAGGTGTAGTAATACAGAACAGGGTTAAGGCAGCAGTTGAAGCTGACCAGAGCTAAGGTGACCCGGCGTAGCTTGTAAATGGTGGTGGCAAAACGGCAGTTCTGGATGAGGCCGGCCCGCGCCAGGAAATGCAGGAGGTGGGTGAGGTGGAAGGGAAGGAAGCAGGTCACGCAGATGAAGAGGATGAGATAAATGGTGCTCAGCGCTTTCCTTCGGCAAGCGCTGTGAGAGATGTGTGAAATTCGCCGGGCAATCAAAGGGTAGCTGATCAAGATCACGACAAAGGGGACCACAAACCCGAAAACCAGCACACAGACGTTATAGGGGAGCATGCGCCCCTTCCACGAGGCTTCCCCAAAGCTCTCAAAGCATACCCGGGCATTGCTGATGTTGGCATCAAGAGGCCCCCCCAGGACCAGCGAGCCAGCAACGCTCAGCCCGGTCACCCAGAGGATAGCAGAGACCAGGGCATAATGGACGCGCTTGATCCTGACGTAGGCCAGCGGGTGTAAGACGGCCACGTACCGGTCGACGCAGATGGACGTAAAGAAGGCCACGCTGAGGTAGATGTTGAGGAAGTACATGCTTCCTGTGATGCGACAAGCCATATCCCCGAAGATCCAGTTGTTGTGGTGAAGGTGGTAGTGGATCTTGAAAGGCAGGACACAGGCGAACAAGGTGTCCACCACGGCCAAGTTGACGAGATAGATGTACGAGCGAGGGGGGTTCGAGATCCGCCAGATCAGCAGGTAGAGGGCGGCCCCGTTTTCGAGCAAGCCCAGCACAAAGACAAGAATGTAGATCACAGGAAAGAGGAAATACTGAAAGTCTGCCTGAGGGCTGCACCCCTCGCTGGCGTTTGCCGCCGTCTGGTTTTCCATCTTCTCTGAAGCAGGAGAGGTCTGGCCTCGTCTGCTGCAGGAAGCCTCTTAGCCCGTCATCCTGGGAGCAAAGGTGGCCAGCGAGCTCGGCTCTGCAGCGTTGGGAGCAGAAGCGGTCTGCCTGAAGTCAGCTTGGCCCGCCTGGGTGGGAAAAAAGGACCCAGTCCGAAGAAGACACAGGAACAGGTAAGACTTTTTGAAAATTCAAAGCTTCTTTTTAAAAAAGAAAAACATACCAGCTG